CAGGAACGGGACTGTGGCGAGCTGGGCCGCTGTTGTCAGCCACGCACAGGTAGGGTTACGCTTGAGCGAGCTTCGCGGAGCCAAGATGACGCCCTGGTATGTCAGGCCAAAGCCAGGAACCCAGCGATCCCCAGCGTGGCACGGCCCTTCGTGCCCTCAGCCTGCGCACCCGGGATCCTCGGATATAGTGGGGTGGATGGGGCGGAGTGTAGGGGGATTCTGTCATCTGGTGCCGCGGTGATTCCGAGGGCCTGTTTGTCCGTTGGCTGGGGCAGATCGGACCGCGACGCGAGGGAGTTGTGTGTGTGTGTGTTGGGGGGGGGGGATACGCCTCCCTGAAAGCCCTTTGTCCTTTCCTGCCCGAGGAACTCAGGTTGGGGACCAGCCGATCGCGGCCTCTTTGGCTCCCATCCATCCCTCCATTAGTGCGCACTCTTGGGGCCTGTGGGTTTTGGGAAGGGGTCTGCCAGCTCAAGCTTGGTGATAAAGGTTTGGAATCCGTGTCTGGAAGGAGAGGGCCAAGGGGCCTGATTACAACCCCAGATACTCGAGAGACAGGCATTTGGGGTTTTAGGGGCGTATCCAAGACCAATGGGTTAAAGTTGTAAGGAGGCAGCTTTGATCCACTCGGAGGCACACTTAGTGAGCTCAGCCCAGGGCGGAACACTGTTCTAGGCGCTTCGTGGGCTTTCCCCATGGTGAGAGCTGTCCAGCAGCGCAGGAGGCTGCCAGACTGCCAGTGCCTCGACCTTGGAAGTGTCCAGGCAGAGGCCGGATGACAGCCAGCTGTCAGGGATGCTTAGAAAGGCCTCCCAAGGGAGAACTGCATGACCCATTCGTAGGGCCCTTCTCTTCCCACAAATGCACACCGGATGACCCTTAATACCCAGCTTGAGAAGGATGCCTTTGGGGATCCACTAGGTTCTAAGCGGATGTTGAATTCATCCTAATACATTTTGAGGTTTCAGCTGTCACGAGTGGATGTTAGAGAAGAGAATGGATTATACCAAAAGACAGAGGCTTATTTACAAACTGCGAAGCTCCTTAATTTGAACTACCATGGACTGCCTCTCTCAGTCTTCCCTACTTATTTTGCTTGTTCCAAAATAAGTTTGTCAATTTCACCTGCAGTCCAGTAACCAAATCTAAAGGCACGTTCCAAGAACAAGCTCAGGAGAGGGACCTGGAGAGACTGCAGGTTTGGCAGAGCCAACAGGATCTGAGCCCAGAGCTTTTCGAAGGCCATTTCATTACAACCACATTAAGCAGAGTCCAAAAGAGAAACCATCTATCTCCTCTCCCCTTCCCTACCTCCTGTCATTTGCCTGAATAGAGAGGACATCATAATCTTCTGAAGGTCAGGAGGCAGAGAAAGAATCTTAACACAACTTGATGCCTGTTTTAGGATGAATTAACCTTAGACTAGCCTGTCAGAAAGCAGACCAGACGAAATACTGCTAGCGTGGAGTTGTGACATTTTAGAACCAAAGACGTTTTAGCTAGAGCACATCTAATTCAGTCCCCTGAAGGTACACACAAGGAAACTGTAACTGTGGCCTGTCACAGGGCTGGTTGGTCATCAGAGAGCCCTGGGGGTTGATCTCTTGACCCTAGATAGATCTAGCTTCGTGCATGACTTGCATTTCACTTCCTGCTTAGTTCTTTTCACTGTAAGTTCTAGGAGAGCCCAGCAAAGTTAGGAGCACAGATTTGAGTGCGTCAGTGTCTGAGTTTGAATCCTAGTCCTCCCCTTTACTAGCTGTGTAACCTTAGGTGAGTTACTTAACCCTCTGCGCCTCTCTTTCCTTATCCAACAGGAATAAAAATGGTACTTTCATTAGATTAATTTGAGGAATATGTTAGTTGTTATATTTGAACCATTTAGAATAGTGCCTGGTACAGACTAACCACAAGTTTGCTAAATACAATGTTCTGTTGCCTTTTTATACCAACTTCTTTTTTTAAAAAAATCATCCACTTTTATTTATTATTTTTTAATTTTACCTGGGAGGGACAGAGAGCGAGGGAGAAAGGAAAAGTGAGAAAGCTAGCCACCAGGTCTGGGACTCCATGATCCGCCATGGTTCAGCGCCCTTAACCACAATGCCACCTGCCAGCACCTGTACTAACTTTCTTTCCATCTGCCATCCAGTATTTTCTTTTCTTTTCTTTTCTTCCTTTCTTTCTTTCTTTCTTTTTTTTTTTTTATAGGTTTTTGCCTTGGGGCACGTGCACTTGTCAGAGGGAGACAGACAGACACAGTGAGAGAGGATGTAATAAATCACTCCTCAGTGGCGATGGCCACGCTGCAATTCCTTCTCCATTCTCTTCCCAGGATCTTGGGCGTGCACACACACACACACACGTGCCCTACATGAGTTTCAAGCCACTAGGTCCAGGACTAGAACTGTCTCGGCCCTGTGGGAGTCCAGCAATATAACCGCTATGCCATCTGCTGGTCCCAATCATCCAGTATTTTCTATCAAGAGCTATTTTCCCCCTGCGTACCCCACCTCCCCCAAGTTCATTAAACATATTTCAGACTTTATATTGGCACAGAAATCTGTAAAGATTTTCAAGTCACATCACGTTTTATTTCTTATTTTTCTGTTTTTTATTAAATTGGGTAATTCAGTTTTAGTTAATCCTCCCTACCCTTAATTACATTCTTTTTAGACCAGATCTTTTTTATTCTTTTTTAAAAGGGAGGAGGAGAATCCCTCGCTGTGGTAACCAAATTCCCTGATGAAACTGGTCTCCACTGTGTCCTTCCAAATATGTATACCCTCTGTTCGGCCCTCTTCCCCAGTTGTCAGTGTGATGCAGCTTGATTATAAATGGATGAACATTTTTAGATTAAGATTTCATGAGCCACTGTATTAAGTGCTTTTCGGAAGTGCAGGGATCATGTGTCAAATGCATTTAAGCCAGTTACTTAGTCACTTGAGTAAGGGGAATGCCAGCAGCTCCCGCCTGGCCTGGCAGAAACCGAAGTGTGTGGCCAAGTCTTGCAGGTAATCTAGCCAGTTCACTGGTGATCTGCGTTTTTCCTGTTCTTTTTCAGAGCTTGAAATAAGCCAGATGGCAAATACAATGGAATGATCGTTTTCCGCCTGTTTTAGTTGGGGGAGTTCCCTTTCTTCCGTTTTTTTTTATTTTACTTTCATTTCCTTTATCACCTTCCCTGTTTGGACAATAGCCACTCTTGGTTTGCAGCCAGTTCCCTTTTAATTGAAAGATGCCTGTCACCTTTATTTATTTATTTATTTTTGCAGGAATCCTGTCACCATTGACTTTCCTTTCTCTGTTTTTCCTGTTTTCTAGACTGAACCAAAGATTATCACTATTCATCGATGAGCACTTTATTTTGCCTTTTTTTTTTTCTTTTTTTAAGCGTTTATTCTAGGTTTTAGCTTTTTGTTTAGGATCTTCTAGAGCTCGGCCATTTTTACAAAAATAGTTTTCATTTCTCTTGTCTTTTAATGTGGACCCCTTTTACTTTTCTTTTTTTTTTTTTTTTTTTTTTTTGTTTCGCCAAGGGGTGCATGTGCTCACCAGAGAGGGAGAGCCCCCTATGAGGAATGGTCATGCCATAATTCGTTTTTTTCCATCTCTCCCTCCTTTTGGGATTTTGCACACACGTGCACATGCACCTGGAGTATTTTCAAGCTGCTTAACTCCCACATCACCAGCTGGCCCAATGTGGACCTCTTCCTATCTTGCTGTCTCTCTCTCTTTTTTTAAATGTTTATTTCATGAATGAGAAAGAGATAACAGCACCCCAGACAGGGGTCTGATGCCATGATACACTCCCAGCCTCGGTCAGCCTGGATCACGGGTGGTCCGGCATAGTGAGGGAGGTCTCTGGATGTCAACCAGCGACCTTCTCATGTGGGACCACCTCAAAGAGCATCAACATTGCTGCCCTGCCACCATCGAGCCTCTGTCTCTCTGTCTTTTCTCATCATGTTTTGGAGGGCAGGCTTCTCGTTTGCTATGACTCCTTGCTTCATCCAGCTTATACTTTCTCCTGACTCCCCAGGACGGCCCACAGCAAGCACAATGGCAACTACTGCCCTTGCCCCATGCTCCTGCACAGAGCACAAAGCAATTTCTTTAGTCTTACGGAAGGCAGGGACAGACTGTCTTATTTATGTATTTATTATTTGCCTAAATTCTGACTCTTTGAAAAGTCCTGGCAGAGAAACACTTCCAATATAATGCAATTGTTTTTTTTTTGAGAGGTTTTTGCTATAGGGCGTGTGCATTCACCAGAAAGACAGAGAGAGACAGAGAGACAGAAAGTGAGAAATCACCCCCCAGGGGGGATGGCCATGCCACAACCCCTTCTCCTCCATTCTCCTCTCAGGATCTTGGGCACGCACCCACACGCGCCCGGCGTGAGTTTAAGCCACCAGGTCTGGGACTCAAACTGCAGTTGACTACATGGGAGGCCAGCGACATAGCCATTACGCTAACTGCTGGTCCCAATATAATACAATTTCTTCCATGACCTCCTGGTTATGATATTTCGATTTTTATTACGTTGTGGGTTCTGAGCACTTTTTGACCAGTTTAAGTGTGTAGATGACGTGAGGCCTTTCTGTCCCATCTTGGGCTAAGCTGTCCCTAGGAACAGAGCACAGGAAGTGCATGGTGTCTCTTAATGTGGTCCAGCGTTAGGATTTCATGGTCGTTTTTTTATGGGTCAGTTTTTTTGCCAGGGACATTTTTTACTGCATATGCTGCCGTTTCTGTATTGATACCCTCCAGTATGGAGATTACCCCCTTTAAAGATCCTTTTTATAGCTGCAGATTTATTCTAGTTGTCTTGGTTCCAGGGCATCATGTTTTTGGAATAAACGTTTTCTTTTTATAAAATAGCTGGTGTGAATGGGCAATGAGCGTACTCCTGGCCGTGAAGCTTGTGCCCAGGGCCGTTGGGTGAGGGTTTGTCGCACAGGGACCCATCCTTAGATCCTTCGCAGTAGTTAAGTAGCAGGTAGGTAAAGAGCTTATTAGAGTACGTGAACCTCGACACCCTTGGGT